TGACTGAAATAAAGACTGTTATAGGCCATGGAAGATAAACGATCAAATAATCCCAGGTCTCAGCTTATTTACAACGGAAATAAACATTTTAGGTAGCTTTCAACCAGAGACTTTATATGGAAATTTGATAAATCGAATATCTTGATCAGATAAAACACATTGTAGAGAGAGGTTTTTAAGGTTTCAGTTGTTGTCTCTACCAGTTAATTGCATGTTTTCATTCCACAATGGTGTTTATGGTTTCATGGAAGATAACCTTCCATTGGAACTAATGAAGCAGAATAACACACAGTGGGGCTCTGCCTGTGTGGTGGCTGACTCTTCCCCCAAACAAAAAGAACTTTAAATCATTCATTATTATTTTTTCATTCATATATTTAACTAGGTGTTATGTTAGAGGCAGGACAGTAAACTTGATATTTTCCTCCTAATTTGAAATATGTTTTTTTCTTTAAAATATGAAGATTTATCAACTAGAGATGGAAGGCTAAAGGAAAGAAGGAAGGAAGAGAAGGGGAAAAGGGAGGAAGAGGAGGGAGAGTCCATGTGTATAAGAGTATTATAGGGTACAAAATAAATATCAAAGTTTTCTCTTCATACTTTTTTCCTGCCCAAAATATAATTCTGTATCAAATGACCAGCCCTAAATACACACCTATATAAGCACCACTAAATGGGCTCAGTAGATTACACACATATATCTATATGCCTGTATATGTAACAATAATAAAAGATGAAGTCATGAAATTGAGAGTGAATAGGGATCATAGGAAGACTTGCGGGGGGAGGGGCAGAAATGATGTAATTATAATAGTCATGTATGAAATTCTAAAAACATATATACAACATAAAATTCAAAATAACATACTCTTTTGGAATACTCATCGTATGTCCCTATGCCTTTTGCAACCCATGAAACACAGTGCTGTTTTTGAAAATGTCTTGTCTAGTCAAGGTAAAGAAGGAGGAGATTTGGTCAAGTCAAACATATTTTTCTTATACGTATCGGGTACTTTAAATTTATTTTATTTATTATTGTATATGGATGAGTGTATTGCCTGCCTATGCACCCATGTTGTGCAATGCCAATGGAGGTCAGAAGAGGGCATTGGAGTCCCCTGGAACTGGAGTTATGGATGGATTTTAACCACCCAGCAGGTGCTGGGAATCAAACCCGGGTCCTCTGTGAGAGCAGTCAGCGCTCTTAACCGCTGAGCCATCTCTCCAGTATTATATCAGGCATTTTTAAGAACAAGGTGTTTCCCAGTTTTTCAGAAGGGTGGCTTTGCTTTTTCTACACAAATTCTTTTCTACAGGATCTTGAAATTGCATTTGTCTGAAGATACTTTAAAAGAAACTATATGGTATTTCTGGAACTTTTTCTCAACAAAAAAAAGTACATGATAAAACTTAAAAAAAATACTTCAAAGAGCCTGCTATTGATGTCAGTTTTCCTATTACTACTCACACTTTATATCAGTTTGGATAACTTAATTGTAAATTTATAAATTAACCTGACTCTCTATGATTCATGCAATATATTTGGTGGATTATTGCATATTTACATTCTTTTAGCTTGCTGTGGGTATTTTCATGTTATTGTATTTGGCTATATATGAAGATTTACTAAGTCTACGTACACCCATTCTCTTCTAAAATGTGAATGTTTTTATTCTCTACATAGAAATATTTCATCTACCCAGGAAGACTGGACAAGATAATTTTTTTCCCAGCACAGAAGAATATGTGTCTGAAATAGGTAACCAGGGTCTCTGCTCAGATCTTAGCTCTACCACTTACCACTTACCATCTATCTGATTTCATTGAGGACTTATGTGCTTATAATTCACTCACCCACCTATAAAATGCAGGTGATGACACCACCTGGTCTTAAAGAGTTGTAAACGTGAAACCATCATTAATAAAGTATTTAGAGTGAAATAAAAGTTGGATGTTTTGAGTATTTTGTGTGTGTGCATATTCATATGCATGTGTGTAGGGGTTATACATGCATGTGTACATATATAAGTAGAGTCTACCTTGTTTTATGAGACAGGATCTCTCACTGGGATGTGGGGCTGGTCAGTTACCAGGCTGTCTGGCCAGCAAGCCCCAGGGAGCCTTCTGTCTCCACCTCTCCAGTTCTGGGGTTACAGGTACAGGCTATCGTATTGTATTAGTTACTTTTCTGTTGCTGTGATAATGCACCAGGACTAAGGCAAATTATAGAAGGAAGACCTTATCTGGACAGAGGGAGAGTCCATACTGGCAGGAGAGGCATAGCGGGAGGAAGTATCCAAAGCAGAAAGCCCAGAGCTCACATCTTCAAGCAGACGCAGGAAGCAGAGAAAGCCAGACTGGAAGTGAGCAGCTTTGTACTCTCAAAGCCTGTCCCCAATGATGTGCTTCCTTCAGCATGGCCACACCTCCTAAAGGTTCCATGACTCCCTGCAAACAGGGCCAACAGATGGGGACCAAGTGTTCAAATAGTTGGAGACATTCTCATTCAAACTACCACACATACCATGTTTTCACCGTGGGTCTCCGTGTTTGTGTAGCAAGAACTTCACCATGTGAGCTATCTCCTCAGCCCCTTGAATACTCCATTCTTTAAATTTTGATGACAACGTTTTTATGTTTATATTTTCAGATGAATTTTAAAGATATAGTTGTACGTCTGTATAGGGTACAGTGTGACACTTCATTGCATGTGTAAATTCTACAATGATGAACTCAGGATATTTATGTTACTCATTATCTCAAATACACCAGTTATTATTATTATTAGTTTTTGCTTTATTGTGTAGCTCTGGCTGGCCTAGAACCCATGATGTAGACCAGGCTGGCCTCAAGGTCACAGAGATTTGGAGATTTGCCTATCTCTGCCTCCCAAGTGCTGGGATTAAAGCCATGTGCTACCACACCTGGCCATCATTTATTTTTATAAAAAAAAAGTATTTTTATGTATCTGTGTGTGAATGCCAATGGTGTGAAGGTGCCTACTTAGGCCAGATGAAAGTGTTGGATTCCCTGGAGCTAGAGACAGTTTTCAACTACTGTACATGGGTACATGGATTCTGGGAATTGAACTTGGGTCCTCTGAAACGAGCAGCAGGCACTCTTAACTACTGAGCCATCTCTCCAGCTCCAAACACATTATTTCTTGTCATAAAAACATTTAAAATTTCTCTTGTAATTATTTTGGTTTATACTTTATAATATCCTTTTTCAACTATCAGGGAAATACCTAATTATTGTCTTAATTAAACTAATAATTTTTTTGGAAAAGAAAATTATAGGAATGATATTTTACACTGTTAATATTTGAAATGTCAAAGCATGTTTTCTGTTTTTTTTCCTTTCTAAAACAGTTAAAATATTTTTTAAAATTTGGTTTTATATCTAGTTAACATGTACCTGTGATTTTTTTATGTTTCTTTTTCACTAGCCCTTTTGCAGAGTTCCTTTTATTTGTGCTATCCTGATATAATAAAACAGTTAATTTTTCATTACATTTTTTAAAAAAATCTCTTTTATAGTTAGAAAATAATGCGGATCAATTTCACATTGTTTATATGTGTCAATACCAGTAAGAACATCAAAGAAATATTAGGAGAAGGAATTCAAAAATAGATACTAGCTCACTAGGTTCAAATGAATAGCTCCAAGCCCATGGCCATACAGATAACTCTGTTTAAATTCAGTGGGTCACAAAACATAACAAAAAGACATGAATGTGAGGGTCTGGGTAAGTGGCTCAGTGACTAAGGGCATTTGCTTTTCTTCCTAATACACGTGGCACATGACACACAGACACACATACGTACATATAAATAAAAATAAATATTTTTAAACAGACATGAGGGACTGGAGAGATGGTCCAGTGACTAAGAGCACTGGCTGTTCTTGCAGTGGACCCAGGTTCTGTTCCCAGCATCCCAATTGTGGCTAACAACCATCTTTAAATCCAGTTCCAGGGATCTGATGCCCTCTTCAGGTCTACATAGGTATTGCATGCATGATGTGCAGTTCCATGCACGTAGGCGAAACACTTATATATAAAAACAAAACAACACAAAAAACCCCACGTGAATTTGGGAAAGGGATTTGTGGGGAAAAGACAAGGTAGATGGGGGTAGGAGAGAGTTAAAAGAGACTGGGGATGAGAGTTATCAGTATATCATTTATACATGCATGAAATTTTCAAAGAATAAGCTTAATTAATGTGCCAAAGACAGATACTGCCACCTCCACTTGTGTAACTGATGAAGAAATGAGATCCAGACTAGCGACACTGAGTCAAACTGATAAGGCACAACCTGGACAGGGCTGGATACTCACTTCCTTCTCCTTTGGTGGCTTAGCTTCATGCGGATTGAGCTAGTGTGCAAGAAGACAAGGTTAGTTCCAGGTTTCCTGCCCTGCAGAGCTATTTACAGAAGAGCCCTCATACACAGATTATCACCATAAGCATGCAAGCTCTCAGTGTGGTTCCTGGTCCCAAGGTGCAGAAGTATTTTTTATTGTTAGAGAAACTACATATTCCAAAGCTCCTGTTTAACCAGAACCTGCGCACCAGGGTTCTTTCTCTTTCTCTTTTTGGTAGTCCTCTATGTAGGTTCAGCACTGGATAAGCCACTTCTTCTCTAGGGACTTGGGAGTGAAATATGCACAGGGCCTCTGCTCCAGCCCACTGCTGTGTGTCAGTAAGCATTTGAGAACTGAGACATTCCTATCACTTCCCTCCTTGAAAGTCAATTCTATGCTGTATTCTGCACCATGTGTTAGAAGTGACTTGTTCACCCTTGCACGATGCTGATATCACCCTAACTTAATTTAAAAAGCTACTTTATGTAGAAATGAGAAAAAGGAAGAAATATGAGGAAGAAAGCTATTTCCTCTTTCAACACTTGTCTGAACAAACAGTTCATTGGCAGATATATCGGAGACTGGTACAGAGGGTTCATAAACAGAAATTCTCGCCTGTAAGATTAACTTCAGGTTATAAACAGAAGCTTAAAATTCCAGGTACTGCACACCATTCAGATGTCAGCTCTCCCTCACATTTTTAAAAGAACATTTTGTTGAATTTTCTGAGCATATTCATCCATGTCTGAAGAAACTGTTTATGCAGATCTAAAATTCCAGGACTCTGAAAAGAAAGAAAATATCAATAATTTTGACAGATGTGGGGCAAAAGGTAAGTTTTGAGCTCTGGGTGTGCTAAGTGATGGTTATCATTACAACATCTCACTTCAGGTGTAGTTATCATTCGGTTTGAGCTTTTAGTTAAGTCTTTAATTTGTATCCAAAATATCAAAGTGATTATGAAAGGATTTTTTTTTTGTTGCTGTTTGTTTTTTTTGTAAAGCATTGGCCACTGCAATGGGACACTCAATATTTTTAAATTTTTCTACTTTTTAATATCAAGGTATGTAGGACAAGATAGTACTTTCAAATGCCTGGGTTGTATAAAGTAGTTTTTGTTTTTCATGAGTTGAAGCCATGGAACTAGGACCATCAATGGATGGTTCAGGAAAGTCATGGATATATGTGTTCCTCTTTTCATAGTTTTTAAAAGAAAAATGCTTACATGGATATATCAGAGAAGGAAGAGAAGGAAGAGGAGCAGAGAGTTTTTTTTTAATGTTTATTTTTATGTGTATGAGTACTTTATGTGAAAATATGTAAGTGCACCATATGCGTGCAATACCTGCAGATACTAGAAGAGGGCATGGCACTGGATCCCCTGGAACTGGAGTTATAGACATTGTTACCTGCCATGTGGATGCTAGGAACCAATCCTGGATCCTCTGTAAGAGCAGTCAGTGCTCTTAACTGCTGAGCCATCTCTCCAGCCCCAAGAGACCTTTTTTTAATCATGTTTCTTTTCTCATTGCGTCATGGAACTTATTCTTGTCCAGATCCTTGAGGACCTCCCAGTCTTCTTTCAGCACTCATGTCTCTATTTTTAAAATGTAATTTGTTAATATGTGTGTGTGTGTGTGTGTGTGTATGTGTATGTCTGTGTATCTCAGGACAGACATGTGGAGGTCAGAGGACAGCCTGTGGCATCTGACTCTCCTTCTATCATGTGGGTTCCAGGGATTGAACTTATGTCATCAGACTTGTGTGGCAAGAGCTTTTACCTCTGAGACATCTCTCAGCCCTCATGTGTCTATTACTGTAGCTTCATTCCTCTGTGACTTTTATAATGTTGAGCAGTCCTTTTAAAATTACTTTCTTTGCACGACCTAATGATATGGTCCTCAGGTATGATACTCAGGAGGCTGAGACAGGAGGATTGCAAGTTCAGAGTCTGCCTGGACTACAGAGTGAGTTCAAAGACAACCTGGTAGCTTAGGGAGACCATCTCAAAATGAAAAGTTAAAAGAGTTGGGGTTATAGCTCGGTGGTAGAGCACTTGCTGACCATGTATGAGGCCCTACTCTCAAATCATAGTACCACAAAACAAAGGCAAAATCCTTCCAAACTTTGTGTCTGTCCCCAGATAGGTCTTCAAAGATTTGCTCTTCCTATAGCTATGCTAGCTTTGTGGCTTTCCTGTGGGTTCTTTCTTCTTGCTTGAGCTCTATTTGATGGAGCACTCTGGGTTTTTTTCCAGATCCTCTTTCCTCGTGTCACTCAATACACTTTTCTAAGTCATTTCATTCATCTTTGGCTAAGAATGCAATGGCGTTCTATATATCTCCTTATGACCGTTCCTTGGATCTTAGGATTATAAAAGACAGTGCCTGTTCCACTTTTTGGTGTGCAGACTTTGCCTCTTTTTTTTTTTTAACCTCCTTAAACATTTCTTACGTAGGTCATATCCCTGTAACTGCTCTGAATTTACTCTGTTTTTCCAAACAATAATATCTTCCCTAAGTTACAGCCTTTGAAGTCAATGCTCTCTTACTGACTGTAATGCTTTAAACACTGATTCTGAACATCACTTATCCTTGTCCATAACATCTGAACTATGTACTTAAAAACACGTTATTTATTTATATGAGTGTTATGCCTCTATACATCTGTAATTGTCATGCAATGCCCACAGAGGCCCAAAGACAGAGTCAGATCCCCTGGAACTGTAGTTACAGTTGTTAGCCACTATATGGGTGTTGGGATTTGAACCTGGATCTTCTGCTAGAGCAGCTGGTGATCTTAATTGCTGAGCTACTTCTCAAGCCCTTAACTACATACTTTAAAGCATAACTCAGTTTCAAATTTCTATCTATCATCAATCATGTATCTATCTATCATCTATCATCTATCTATCTCTATGTATCATCTATCTATCTATCATCTATCTATCATCTATCACCTATCTATCATCTGTCTACTTATTTGTCTGTTTCCTGTTACACTAAACTATAGCTCCATAACAACAGAGACATGCATGCCTTACCACTTCTGTTTTTCACTACCTGCAATAGTATCGAGTATGTAGAAGGCACACATTCAATAACTTTTAAATAACTGAATACATGAATATATGAGAAAATAATTCTTACAAAAGATAACACCTGAATTTGTATTCTAACCTCAGATGAGGTCTCGACCTCTGCAGTACTTTAATAATAATTTTCAAAGTATTAAGAAATTAAATTTTATATTTTGTCATTTTTGCTAGATTTAACATTATTACACTATCAACTGTGTGGTGTAAGATGTATGTTAGAAGCAGAATAAGAATATAAGCTTATCCTTTTAGAGTGCTTTTGTGAAACAGTCTTTACACATATACATACATAATGATAAATTATATCATGTAACAATAACTCACAATATAAATTTCAGAACTCTTTAGGCAAATGATTTATTTTGTGAGTCATTGTTCAGAATATAATGGAAGCATTTAATAAGAACGTTTTTGCTAAAAATCATGGAAAGATATTGAAAAATTTCTTAGAAATGCAGATCAGGACTAAGTAAAACAGAAGCTGATGAGAGGACTTCAGGAACAAGTCAAGGACAACCCACCTTGCTGTTCTTCAATTGCAGTCCTGGATTGTAGGGATCACATAAACAACTGAAATTGTTTCATTTGATAAGCCTCACCTACACTTTCCAAGATACTCCTCAGATGACTTCTTTCTTGGCTTACAGCAACTCATGTTTCCAAATTAACTGAAGGTACACTCTATCTAGATTGTATTTTCCTTCCTCCCATCTCTTTTTTCAACTTCATTTTTGCCTTTTTTTTTTTTTCTTTTGGTCTTTAATCAGTCTAGAAGTTAACATCTTTGCCTATGGGAACCATGTCACATGTAAAAGAACTTACTGAGTTTTTCCTACTTTTTAAAAACTGTTTTTTTTTTTTTTGAGTGGGAAAATATTTACAATAAAAGTATCAATTCTGCTGGGTGCAGTGACAAATGCTTTTAACTCCTAGCATTCAGGAGGCAGTCGCAGTTGAATCTTTGTGAGTTTGAGTTCAGTCCAGTCTATATAGTAAGTTCTAGGCCACCCAGGGCTATATGGTGAGACCCTGTCTCAAAAATCCAAAACAAAAAAATTCAACCTCCAAAACTCTTATACATATAAAATGGAAATAAATTAAAAAATTATTTTAAGAAATCAATTCTTATAAAAAATTATTTCTGTTTTTAGTACAATTCAAAATAAAAATTCTAATGGGAATGATTTTGTAGTCTTAAAATTTCCTGAAGATCATTTGAAGAATGAGCTGTGAATCATAAAAGAAAATTCTAAATATGAATACTAATACGATGTTTTGCTCTAATCATAGAATATTGTGCCACAAAACTTAACATGATGCAGAAATGGCTCTGAAATTAATGCAGCAAGACAATATGGGAATCCCAGAAATATTCTATTTTATACATTTTTCAAAACAGTTTTTGTTAGTTCTTTGAGACTTTCATGCAGTGCATTTTGATCATATTTACCCCTCCCCCAGCTTCTCCCAAGTCTCCCCACCCCATCCCTACCAATTTTGTGTTCCCTTTTAAAAAAAAATGAGTCTGCTCTGTGTTGCCCATACACTCTTGGTTTTGTGACCATTCACATGGTTGACCTACCAGGGACCACACTCCTTAAGAAGACCAACTCTCCCTCTCCTAGCAGCCATCAGTTGTCAATACCTGGTCAGCTAGGGGTAGGGCATTGTGCCAAGCTCACCTCTGCATGCTGGGATTTTGTCTGGCTTGGGAAGATCCTGTGTGTGCTGTCATAAACACCTTGATTTTACTGGAGGGAGGATTAAGACGTTTCATGAAAAAAGAAATCTGTTGTGTAACACAATATAGTCAAAGATCTCAAAAGTAGAATTCATGACTTAGTTATCATTTCCTACCTGAATTATTGTTGAGAAAGTATTTTTTTTAAGAAGTCCTTGAGTTTCTCGCAAATTACTTTCCATTACAAGGTACATAGTAGGAAAGAAATAGAGGGAGAATGAATGAATGATGTGCTCTGCTTTTAGACTTCTTTGCTGTTTTTTTCTTTCCACAGAACCTACAGCTCCTCCCCATTTACAGCATAAAAGCATCTTGATTTTGACCCTTCTCTGCCTTCTGCTCTTCGTTGGACTGGGAGTGTTGGGAGGCATGTGTATGTATCACCTTTGTTTTGCTGAGAGAGAAAACACCTAGAACGTTATGAGTTGTTTGACCAATGTTTATTCTTTGAATTAAAGCTTTGCAATAATATGCCCACAAAGGGACCTTAGAATGTAATACATAGACATACACTTGATCTCTTCCAGTTATTCCCCAGAGTAAGTTCTTCCTACTACTCTAATATATTCTTAATTAATTAAATTTTTTGTCTGCATGTATGTAAGTGCACCCATGCATGTAATGCCCACAGAGACCAGAAGAGGGTGTTGAATCTCCTGGAACTGGAGTTCTGGATGGTTTTAAGCCACCATGTGGATGTTGGGAACTGAACCTGGGTCTTGTGGAAAAGCAGTCAGTGCTCCTAACTGTTGAGCCATCTCTCCAGCCCTGCCTTTAATATTTTTAGTACTATTTCTATAAGAAATCCCCAAACTTCTAAAGGTGATATGTTTATTGAGAATTTATAAGTATTTAAAAATTATCTTCTCTTTCTTTCTTTCTTTTTTTTTTAATCTGGAGTTTTTACAACTTTGAAGAGAGAAATGGTAAAATTGAGTAAACTACAAAACACCAAGGAAGAACTCCAGCAAAATCTTTCTGTACAATTGATGCACAATATAAATAGCTCCAAGAAAGTCAGGAGCCTCTCCATCACACTGCAAAAGATATCCACCGAACTGTGCCGCAAGCTGTATCAAAAAGAACCAGGTACTCCTGTATCACTCTCAGAAAAATTTCCTAGACAGCAAAGTAAACCTCAGAGTCCTTTAAGAATCACTTCCTTGCAAAGCCAGCATTAAATGTGAAATTAAATATGGTTGATGAAGAAGTTATTGATATTTCCATGTAGTTAGAAGGAAATCAAAAAGATAATAATTTGCAGGTCAAATTACGTGGTTCTGTCAGTTACACAATAATGTAGTTTTTCTTATCCACATTGTATACTGTTATCCTAAACACCAAACTCAATAGATGATAAATAGGAAAGGACACCTCTTTATCAATGACATCATCCCTAAATTTCAGCTAACACTGAGGGAGTAAAAGACCATAGAAAAGCATCAAAGTATCAGTGTGAGCCTTGGAATTAGAGGGGATGGTCTTATTTCCAAGTGTTGTTAAAGCTAAAATATGTTCCTTGTGCTTCTGAGGAGGCTCTCCAATATTTAGCATATTGGAAACCTAGAGATGCAACTGCGGGGGAAGGCAGGACTGATGAGAGTATGTGAAACTGATTTTTACTAGATAACCTTTGCTATGATTAATTTTTACAGTAAAAATGAGTACAGAAATGACAAAGTGAGACTATCCAGGTCCCTGGCCAGATACTTGATTTTCTTTTTGTCCAAGTTTTGTGTCAGACACAGAGAATGATATACAGGGATCTAGAATACAAAATTTGTTTTCTTTTCCTTTGAGCTAAAGAAGAGAAATATGGTAAGTGTCACATATAGAGTTAATGGGCAAGAACATTGAGGACTATTCACAAAATCCATGCAACACTGTGATCTCCTTCCAGCACACAAATGCAAACCTTGTCCAAAGACGTCAATGTGGTACAAAGACAGCTGCTATTCTCTACTTGATGGGTATGAAAACTGGCAAAATGGTGAACTGTTATGTTCTTCTCAGAATGCCAGCCTGCTGACAATTAAGAACAGAAGTGCATTGGTAAGGTTTCATGTCTCTTCTTGTGAGAAAGGAGGTCACTTTGGGCATCATGAAATAAGATGGTGGTGACCTGCGTTGACCTCCTCATGATTCAGGATGGTTTTAGTTGCAATGGGAGGTGACTGAGACACGTCCATTTATCTCAGGGAATCACAGCCTAGGTAAACCATGTGTCACCTTAGGAGTGTAGCTTCGAAGCTGATAGATGAGTGGTCAATAAGGGGCATCCAGAATCCTCAGGGCTGTACATTCTTAAATCAGTAATGTAGAAGCAAGCAGTGCATGCCTTCTGAATATTTGCCCCAAAACAGAGAACATGAGATCATTGCTGAGGATCGCCAATTCCATAAAAACCACATTCTTTGTTTTTATCATACTGTAATTTTTACTTACTAAATAAAAAAGCTAGGTTAAACTTGATATCATAATAAATGAACAAACAAGTAGAATTGGAGTGATAGTGTAAAGGCCAGGGCCAAACAGATACAGTGCATTGAGTTCTTGGGATGCAAGAAAATTTAACTCTTTGGTTAGTTAATTAATAAATAGCATTTCCTTATTTTACTGATTGATCACTAGTTCTGGTCCCTCATATAGCAATGCTGTATTATTATTATTTTCTATTTTTTGTTTGTTTTGTTTTGAGACAGTCCTATTATACAGCTCTGAAAAGTCTGGGCTTGCTATGTAGACCAGGCTGGCCTCAAACTCACAGAAATATGCCTGCCATAGCTTCCAGAGTGTGAGTGCTAGAATTAAAGGTGTGTCCCACTATGCCTGGTCTATTTTTTTTTTTTTTTTTTTTTTTTTTTTTTTTTTTTTTGTTGTTGAGACAGATTTCATTGTTTCTTTGGCTGGTCTTGAAATCACAGCAATCCTCCTGCCTCAGCCTTCTAAGTACTAAGATTATGGGTGTGATTCACATAGTCATTTATTTTTAAACAAAACTACATTTCTAAAAATCTCAGCTTTTCTACTATATTAAGATTTGTCATTGTTCATAGAAAAGCAAATCAGTCATTATCGTCTGTCTCATCAGAACTTTCTCAAATGATCAATTCATAGTTATTTACTTGGAAAAATTTAAGTCTGGAGTAAAAATAAAAGAACACTTGCTACTTTGGCTGCAGAATTCTGGGCTGGTTTGGGAACTTGCTCCTTTTGCTCTTCTCTGACTCGCCTGTGTTATCTTTTCCACTTTTTCTGTTAAGTCTGGTCTACAGTCGTTAACCACCTCCATGGCCCCAGACTGAGTATTTTCTGCCCAAATATTTAGATCTGGAAAAGCGTCAACTTTTCATTGACCCTAAATTTAGGTTTCACAAGGAATTAGTAGGCCTTTGCTTGCCAATGGTGAAGACTGGAGAAGTCTCAGAGACCTCAGTCCACTGTTTCCAAGTTCTTGTCACCATCAGACAAAGGACTCAGAGACAGGATGTGAATATTTGGGAGGGTTTTAGTACAGAGTCAAAGGAGACACTCAAGGGATATGGGCTTCTCAGGAGAGAGCCTCTTCCCTGAGATTTTGGATAGGCTGTCTTTAGAGAAAACTTCAGTGGAAGGGGGAGATATTCACTAGTTCAGGAGGTGGGAGTTCCAGGAATGGGTTGAGATTTACCTAGAATAGAACTTATTACCTTTTCTGTTCTTACATGGAGTTTTGGGGTGTGTTGTGGTATCAAATGCATGATGGGAGCTGCGGCTTCCGCATAGCTGATCAGATCGTTATTATGAAGTAAAGAACTGTAAGCAATTGCCTGTCATGGTTCTGGATGCTTCTGGGTGGTCTTAGTTTTTCCTGCTTGCACAGTCTCAGGATATCCTGCTGTTTCAGAGCTCCACAGTTGTGGCAACCTCTAGCCCCTGTAGTTTCCCTCTTTTTCTTCCCTTCGCCACATAGCAAACTTCACTTTCCCCTTGTTAGACAGGATGTAAGATTGTAAAAATGCTGAAATCTCATAGTAAGAAGTGCTTTCAATTTCTTTTAAATAACACTGAAAAGTAATAATGCTATGTCAAAGCTATAATGTTAAAACAGTAATCTGTAATCAATTGCATTGTAAGTCAGTATACAGAAGTAAGACACAATTTGTTAAACAGACCATCGCTATTTGTTCTAGGAATTCGTAAAATCTGAGAACTTATATAACTACTGGCTGGGATTATCTCCCAGAAAAGAATACATAAACAATGTGAAAGTGGGTGATAATATTTTCTCCTCTGTATGGTAAGTCTGTTCTTTTTGAATTTCTGTGGTTAGGTTTGAATGCACACGTTTTATTCAGGAGCACTGCAGGAGCAGTCAGTGTTGCCACAAATGTATTGCCATCGTTTTGATAAACCACTAGTAATCTACAGCAGCCAATTATAGAAATGTTTCAGAAGTAATGCTTGTAATTAAGCAGATTGTGGAAGCCAACAATATTCACTCAGCACTGCAGAGGACTTAATATTGTGCTAAATTCTGAAAATCAAAGGTGCATGAGAGACCGATTTATCTATAAGTTGCTTAACTACAGATTGCATATGTTGACTGATTGAATTATTCTAGTGATGCAATAAATATAGTGTGACAAATGTTTCAGTCAGATACGCAAATAACTAAAACCAAATTTTAGCTGCAGAATTTTTATTGTAACTGACATGTGAAATGGACTTTTTGCATTTTGTGTGTTTATGTATATGTATGTGTGTACATATATGTGTGTACAAATGTGTGTATACATGTGTGGGTATTCGTGTGGAGGCCAGAAGACAAACTCTGGTGCTGTTCTTCAGGTGCTTTACACATTGCTTTTTGTGAGACAGAGTCTCTCACTGGCCTGGAACTTTCCAAACAGGCTAATCTGGCTGGCTAGTGAACCCCAGGAGTCCACATGAAAACATGTGTTCAGCTTCTTTTTTTTAATTTAACATAGGTTCTAGGGATTGAACTCAAAGGTAAAGCTTGTGTTTTACTGACTGAGGTATATCTCTTCAGCCCCAAAACGTAAATTTTTGAGTGACGCATTAGAAGACTCACTAAAAGAGCATTTCAGTGTAAAGAACAATACAAACTTTAGTGTATAGTGCATACAGTGGTATACATGTGTGCACATGTATATATGAATATACATGAATTTGTTAATGATATACTTAGAAAGGTGTTTATAAATATATTGTTATAACTAGATTCATTCATGGTATTTGTTCTGCTTCCTGTGGGAACAAATCAAGGCTTTACATCAAAACATGAAAATTTGACTTTATTTTATAGTCTCTGAAATGTGTGAAGCAGAGAAAACCAGACTAGAGAAATAAATTATAGTCTCAATACTGGACACTGATGCAGGCCCCACATTTATCAGTACTGGGGATTAAACCCAGGGTCCTGTACTTACTAGGCAATCACTTTACCAGAGAGCTACATGCTGACCCCTAACCACATGTTTATTATTTAAGAATACAGCAGGCTGGGGGCCAATCAGGCAACAGCACGGGAATAATACTGTGCTGCCTCTAAGGACTGTGATTTTTGCATACTCACCACCACAGGATGCACAACAAACACTAGCCTCGGTTTTACTTTGCTTTTCTCTTCAGCTAGAAATAAGTATAGGAACACGGGTCAGAAAGACAGGATAGTTTTATCCTTGGTGGTTGGCAATGGCAGGAAAGAAGGACGATAATATGGGTTCCAACGGAGAAGGATGGATGTCTTCAAGTCTCATTTACAGTGAAGGATTAGAGATAAAAGTAAGCTGAACATCAGAAGGGAAGTCAGGCAGAATCCTGTAAAGCAGAATATACATATGCTTGTAATTATTGCATGTGGAAAGGTAAACTATAATGGAGTGAGAAACACTGGATGTTTTAAATTGCCAAGAAATAGTACTTAAGCCAAGCATAGTGATACACACCTTTAACCCCAGCACTTGGGAGGCAGAGGCAGAGGCAGGCCACTTTCTGTGAGATTGAGGCCAGCCTGGTCTACATGTTAAGTTCCAGGCCAGCTGGAGCTACAGGGAGACCCTGCCTCGAGAAAATAAATGAATAATATGTAAATAATAAGTACAAAAGTCATCATACATACGGTACATGTTGCTGTATATATTATTTTTTTTGTTACTCTCAGTGTTTTTCTGGGGGTGGGCCTGGTTCTGGAGGAAGGCTTTTAAGTGGCATCTCTGTTTTGTAATCACAGATAGGAAATCTCACTTTGTTATACTTTTTATTGAATTTTTGTGAATTTCATAATTTTAAAAAAGTTATTTTAAATTA